TCATTTGTCATCTTTTTATTTTGTGTACGTTTTCGAATATCGTGAGACCGTATTTCATTTGATTTTATCGAATGACTTTACTCGTTTTTGCATCAATCTCGTTTACTGCTAACGAGTGCGGAATTCGTGAAGATGCGTTTATAAGGAGGTTTACAAAAAATTCGATTTGTTTTTGATTGATTTTAGTATATTATCTTCATTGTTTCAGCTTGAATCATTAATAAGCAATAAGACAACGCATTACAAAGGCGATCATCATCCGTCTGTTGAGATCGTAGCTCCATTATGTGCTCAATTGCTTGTGAGATTTCTTTCAGTTTTTTTCAGAATTTAACCCATTTGCAGCAGCATGATTCACTGACATGGAATTTCGAGATTGTTAATGTTTCAAATTATTTCAAACATTCCCTTCTTGGATTTGACTACAATCCAGAAACAGAGTTTCTTCCTGAAACAAATTGTTACTTTAATTGTTTGCAATGAGTAAGTTTTTGATTAGGGTGAAAATGTAATCGAAATTACAATTTGAGTATCCAAAAGAAGAAAAACAAATGGTGCAAGCTGCGATGTTAGGCACAAACGAAGCAAATTACAAATTTGTCGAGTTCATGGATAGAGACGGTATCGAATAGTTTTTTCCTCTCATTTTCTTTTTTCATCGCTTAGATTCAGCACTGAATCTTCGAAAATTTTGTTGAGTGATCATCAGAATCAAATAGGTGATAGAGTAGTGAAATGAAAGTTCAAAAGAATGACCAATTCAGATCGAAACGGCGATGTGTACGCGTTGAGTTGTATGAATGATCGGTATATGCTTGAAGTATGCGAGGAGGGTTATCTGACAATATGGGATATGGCAACAATGATACAACTAGTCAAGAAACGCATCGTTTCTGAAGGAGAATCCATCAAAGCGTTCAAAATTCTTGAAGGACAACAAACTCTGCAAGAAATTACACTCATTTTGATTGTTTACAATCAGAATAATGCAAAAACTGAGGTGAATTTTTTTATCTCATTGCCGTCAACCAATGCAGATTAAACCTCGAATTGTTTCAGTTCAGCTCCGCTTGTTTATAGCGATTTTCTTCGATCATTACATTTGTTTGTCAGCCAATCTAGGTTTGATGAAAACTAAAATTACTTACTGTAGAGTGCCAATAAGGCGATTTTACCAACTTGATATCGTTCTTTGTATCGCGATATTTGCACATATTCCGTCATTTAGTTCTGTCGTCAGTTGACATACTCACAGATTGCATCCGTTTGGGACTAATAATGATGCAATTAATCGTACCAGTGGATTAATAGGAACGAACTCGAATCAGATTATTTCTTGGGAAATATTGAGAGGACGATGATGAACCTTCTAATCAAATTGCAAAATTTCAGTTGCAAATCCGTTCGTTGAAAAGCGCTGAATTGGCGTATGCGTTAAGTGTACCAATCGATACGGATTTACTTGCATTCGCACCCAATGAAGAATTCTCAATAATGATCGTAGAACCGTACGGTTTTGCGCCAAGGTTATTGAAATTTAGTTTAAGCAAAAAATATTACGAACACATGAATAGACAATTAATGAGAAGCCAAATCGTAATCTGGCTTAGGCTCGACAACATCACTGATATTGATATATCAATTGGTTTGGAGCGAAAGTTACCCTTGCGAACGGGACTGTTCCATTCGTAGACGAAAGTTTAGCGGGGAAGTTGTAATTTGTTATTTGGATGAGGTGCGCATATCGTTGAAATAATTGCATTTTTGGCAAGAAAAAAACTGTTGGGTATGAGTGTGAGTATGTTTAGGTTTTCAATCGTTAGACATTTTTGAGAGTATACAGAAACTATCAATTGTGTTACGATCATCACTATTGTCTGGTGCAGTATTGCAGTAGTTAAATGAGTGTAATTGAGAAGTAATTGACATTTATATGTTGTTAAACGATTGTTT